TGGGGAATTGATAACAGAAGTTCCCGATACGCTCCACGGATTTCAAGAAGAGTGGTTGTGGGTTGGTGGGACTGGCAGTGTGCCGACATTGCCAATGATCTTCTTGCCAATGGGACGAGTATCCCAATGGCTATTAAATCTGCTTACTGTAAGTTACAATTTTCTTTCTTTGCACTCCGAGTATTAATGTTTTGTTTTTTTGTCTTCGCTAACAGGTGGACTTTTATGATATTGTAGCCAAACCAGAAGGGAAGAAAGAACCCAAATTTGAAGGTCTGTTGTACAACCGAGTTGATAAATTATTCGAAGTTTCTACAAACAAGCGAAGATATCAACGACTTGTGAAGGATTCTCGGTTGGAGCTAGCTGGCTTATCTCCCGGGATATTAGACTCTTCGTTTCAGCCAGGTGAGCGTCTTACTTGCGTTATTTTTGGACTTCATATTGATGATGTCGGTCTTAACTTGAGATGTCTTGTTCAACAATTTATTATCCGTTGTTGGGATACTTCGGTTTTGGAAATCCCATTGAAGCAGAAGAACATCGGAGACGCAATCCAAACTCCGATTTAAAAAACAAAGTTGGGAAAAGCAAAAATCTTCGATCAACCGAGATGGCTGGACGCATGAATCTCCTCAAGGCATGGAAAAAGAACCCCAACCGATCTCAGAGTGTTGTCGGTGAGCCATCGTCGACAAGGGTGGAGCCGATACCAGCTGTTGTGAGTGAGCCATCTGCTGCCGATAATCAGCCACTTGACGTTGAGCCATTGCAACAAGTAATGACGCCGGTGAACGAGCCCATTGCCGAGACCAAAGTTTCACAAGATATACCTGAGGAGCCCTGTTTAAATCTGGTCCACCGTCGCAAGAGATCTAATGTGTCGCACATGGCCGAAAGAATGAAGAAAAAACAAGACACCGATGCGGGCAAAGAAAAAGAGGAGGAAGAGCCCGAGATCATCTTGAGAGAATCTTTCCTTAGAGTGAACGAGAAAAAAAGCTGCAGAGTTAAAGCTGCCAGAAGATGTCTTTGATCCCTGGTTCGCAATGTACCAAACTGTCGTCGAGCCAAAAGTTACAAAAAACCATCGATTCCCCGACGAGGCAATGAAGGCGGCGAAAGTTCCGTTGATGTCGTGGGATCCATAAACTCACGCCAGGATTGCGTCGCTGCCCGATTACCAAAAATTCAGTTATGCCAGAGGTTGCTTGGGGCGAGCACTTGTCAGCTTCGTGGCGGCCGAGGAAAGTTATCGGGCAGAGTTCTTGAGCTTGACGAGAAGCAGCATGAGCTAAGCTTGAAATAAGGTGCTATAGCTTCCTTAGAGGAAGAAAAGTCCCGATATGTAGTATCGATGTCAGAAAAAGATGCCCAACTGAAGGCGGCACAAACCGAGGTGGGAGCGCTTAAAACTGTGAGAAAAAACCTCTTACTGGCCCACGATCTTATGTCGGTTCAGCTTGCTAAAGTTGAAGAAACAGCAAAGGAGAAGGACGAGCAACTTATGAAGTTGAGGGCTGAGCTTCAAGCTGTTCGAAAAGATCGGTCTGACAAAGACGCTGAGTTAATCCGCAGCCGCGAGGCCCATGGGATTGCTATGACCAAACTTCGGTCGGAGATGACAACTACGGCTGAACTCAATTTTTAGGAGGAAATCGATGTCGGTAAAAAAGCTGTGATGGAATACGACAAAGCGTTGAGTGGTGATGCCGTGACTGAATGGGATTTGGAGTTGAATGCTGCTCTAACATTGCGCTGGGTCATCGACCACGTAGAAAACGACATTTATAGTGTCGATGAGCTGCGGATTTTCCTTCTGGAAAAATTGGAAAAGCATCGTCTTAACCCCGAGATCAAAAGTGCTCATATCCCGGCTAACCAAGATGAGCGTGACTTTGCCGACCGACTCCTCAAGCAAAGAGAAAGCCGGATGCTTGAACTAGACATGGCGCCGTTGTCGGAAGAGCGTAGGGCCAAGATCCGTCGGGCCTTCATCGACATGGTCCTTGAGGTGGAAAAAGTCAAAAAACCCGAAATGGCGAACATATGTGTTGAGACAATTGCTGACGCTTTTGTTGTGGAAACACTTGAAAGCCTTTCTGACGAGGAGCTCATGGATGCTATTACCGTTTCGCTTTGCGAAAGGTGGCGGAGGATGACGCCAAGGCAAAGGGTTGGTTGACGGAAATGATTCCCTCCGACGATGATTGAATCATACATGAAGATGATGACATCGTCATCATAAAGGAAAGCGATGTCGTTCAAGAAATGGAGGAGAAAGAAGAAGTAATGCAACGTTTGGGCCAAAGATTAATAGATCACCTGGACGCGGTGGATAAAGGCAAAGCTGATGCAGGAAATCCTCAATCTTCAATGGCCGAAGGGGCTTCAACGTCGGGGACAAACAAAGAAGATTTGAAGGAAACCTGATAAATGTTGTCATATTTCTTTTCTTGATTTCCATTCCTTGATATCCAGTTGTAATAATATTATCGACTTATGAATGAAATTTCAATGTTCAATGATCTTATTATATTTATGAATGTATTGCCATGATAAGTTACTGTAATAGGTCAAAACACGTCGGAGTAATGATAAATGAATGTTTCGCAAATCATGCTTTTGATTATTCCGACATGATATTTAGCATTTACATATTACTTCTTATGAATTTGTCTGAATCCTCGATATCGATATAATTTATAGTGTATCCGATATCTATGAACTCTTCATCAGAACAAGTTGTAACAAACTTGCTTTTATTGTAAAAGTCTTTGAATTATTCAAAGAACTTAGACACATTTATTGTAAGCTCATCAAATCAACTTCGGGATTTGAAATTGTAGAGCATAAGCCTCCCCAAACCATCTTCAGGGCTTGGAAGTATCCGGCTTTGTCGCGTTTGGCCAGGTCATACCAACTTCAGGGTATGAACACGTTTAGCCTTAGCAACAAGGACCAATTTATTGACGTCCGAGTGATCGAAAAAATTATAATGGCTCGTCACACAAACTTTATTGATAACAAAAGGTGATTTTGTACATAGGTAGGACAAAAGACTTTTATACATCAGGGGTAAAGGTTCAACCCTCAGTTTTACTGGAAATATTTCTTAAGATAGGTAGCATGCCAAGGATATTGAAGGGGAACACCACCTAAAGTTTCAAGTCGGTAAGTACCATTAGAGATCAGACGGTTCACTTTGAAGGGTCCTTCTCACTTCAGTTGCAACGGACCGACGTTGGCCCCGGTAACTCTTTTTAACACGAGGTCTCCTACGATAAATGAGTGCGGCTTGAGTTTTGAATTAATGTACTTTTCACTACATCGTTTATAAGCAGCATTTAGAATTTTAGCTTCGGTCTGTAGTTCATCGACCAAGTCGAGATTGGTTCTCAAGCTTCCTGAGTTGGCTTCTTCGGAAAAAATGGATAATCTGATATGTTGGAGAAGTGAGTTCAGCAGGTATCACGGCTTCGGTTCCGTATGTCAATAAAAACGGGGTTTCTCCAGTTGAGTTTCGCGTCGTCGTTCGATAGGCCCAAAGAACATGAGACAACTCGTCAGGCCAAGATCCTTTTGCAGTCTCAAGTCGGGTTTTTAAACCATTCTTGATGATCTTATTTACAGCTTCTATCTGTCCATTAGCTTGTGGATGGTAAGGTGATGAGAAGAAATGCTTGATGCCATAGTCTTCACAAAAGCCTTAGAATCTTTTTCCTTCGAACTGACGACCGTTGTCGGTTATAATGGAATTCGGTATTCCAAACTGACAAACGATGGACTTCCAAACAAAATCAATCATCTTTTGTTCGGTGATGGTTGCAAGAGGTTCAGCTTCTACCCATTTAGTGAAGTAGTCGACAACCAATATCGCAAATCGAACACCTCCCTTTGCTGTCGGAAGCGGACCGATTAAATCAATTCCCCATTTTGCGAACGGCCATGGACTAAATATTGACTTGAGGAGTTCAGGATGTTGGTTAACATTGGGAGCAAATATCTGACACTTATGACATTTTTGTACCCAGTCGGCTGCATCTTTCTTAATAGCCGTCCAATAGTAACCTTGTCGGAGAATCTTGTGAGATAATGCTTGTGCTCCTTGATGGGTACCACATACACCTTCATGCACTTCTTGAAGAATACGTCGGGCGTCGGCTTCCGACAAGCATTTAAGCAACAGAGTGGAATATCCACGCTTGTATAATGTTTCTTGATCGATCGTGAAATGAGCAGCACGAACACGAAGGGTACGAGCTTCTTTTGGGTCTTCAGGCACGACCTCGGTTTGGAGATAGTTGATGATCGGATCCATCCAGGTCGAATTTGGAATTGGTGAAGCAGCATCGATCATGGCGACGTCGGTAGTGATTGTTGAGGAAGTCGTCTGTTGAGTAATTTGCACAAATTCGACGTTAATCAAATAGGTAGAAGAGGCTAAACGTGAGAGAGCATCCGCCTGAATGTTGGATGTTTGAGGTATATGCTCTAACGTCATTTTGAATCGTGATAACTTCTTCTTCAAAAGATCAAAATAAGGCAGCAATCGAGGTTTCTTGACTTTATAGGTGCCGTTGATGTGGCTGGCGAGTAATTGAGACTCAAAAAATATGTGGAGGGAGGAAACACTCAAGGATTCAGCAAAGTGCAGGCCTGATAAGAGGGCTTCATATTCAGCTTCATTGTTTCTAGCTGGAAAGGTGAATGCTACAGAGTAACAAAAAACTTGTTGATCAAGGCTGACTAAAACGATTCCTCCTCCAGCTCGTATAGCGGTGGATGATCCATCGATGTAGAGAGTCCACGTTGGATCTTCACTTGACGTATTGATGGATGGAGTGAATTCTGCTATGAAGTCGGATAACACCTGGGCTTTAATGGCAGTTCGCGGCTGATATTGAATGTCAAACTGTCCAAGCTCTATAGCCCACTTGATCATTCTGCCCGACGTGTCGGGTCGGTGAAGGACTTGTCGGAGAGGGTATGATGTGAACACAACAATAGAATGTTCCATAAAATACGGTCGCAACTTACGAGCAGTAATAGTCAAAGAAAAGGCTAATTTCTTTATATACGGATATCGCAATTTAGCGTCATGTAAAGCCTTGCTAACATAATATATCAGAAACTGCTGAAGTCCATCTTGTCGCATGAGGACAGCGCTAACATCAACATCACTTACTCCCAGATACAAATATAAAGGTTCATCGGGAAGGGGTTTCTGCAACGTCGGTAGTTGTGAAAGGACTTCTTTGATATTATCAAAAGCATTCTGACATTCATGGGTCAATTCAAACGGCTTCTTCTTTCTGATAGCGTCAAAGAAAGGCTTGCAATGATCCGTCGACTTTGAAATGAATCGATTTAGAGCTGCTAGTCGACCAGTTAAATCTTGGACACCCTTGATGGATGTCGGAGGAGCCAAATCAAGTATGGCTTGAATCTTGATGGGATTAGCTTTGATTCCTCTTTGGCTCACCATATATCCTAGAAATTTTCCTGATCCAACCCCGAAGGTGCACTTTTTAGGGTTAAGCACCATTGAGTATTCTCGGAGGATATCAAAACTTAGGAAAGACAAGCGATATGATTGGAGGCTTGTTTCGATTTCACCAGTATGTCGTCTACGTAAACTTCCATCGTATGACCGATCAAACGAGCAAACATCTTGTTGACCAATCTCTGATATGTGGCCCCGACATTCTTCAATCCAAAAGTCATCATGACGTAGAAATAGAGACCTCGGGCCGAATAAAACGAAGTGTATTAAGCGTCATCAGGGTTCATGGGAATTTGATTTTAACTGGAATAAGCGTCTAGAAAACTCATGAGCTGATGGCCCGATGTGGCATCTACCATGTAGTCGATGTGTGTAATTGGATAACTATCTTTCGGACATGCTTGGTTCAAATCCGAGAAATCAATGCGTAGGCGCCAAAGGCCAGTACTTTTCTTAACAAAAATAGGATTTGATATCCACATAGGGTGTTTGGCTTCTTTAACGAACTTATTGTCTATAAGTTTATTCACTTCCTCCTCCAATGCTTTCTGACGATCTGGCCCGAATTTTCAACGTTTTTGTATGACGGGCTTGACTGTCTTATCCAAATTCAACCGGTGACACGCTTTTTGCGGGTCTTTTCCCTTCATGTCTTCATGCTTCCAGGCGAATACGTCGGAATGATCGAAGAAATTGAATTAGATGTGAGCGTATTGGCTCGTGAAGACTAGCTCCAATGCGCAATGGTTTTTCTTGGGTTACTTCATCCACGTGAATAATTTCGACATCTTCAACGGGTTCCGCCCGAACGTGATGACTCTTGTCTTTGAATTGCATCCTTGGATCGATATCTTCATACGCCGTCACGTCCTCCTCATGAAGCGGTTGTCTTTGGTCGAAGGTTCCATTCGATGTTTCGGGCAACTCCGACATCACAGGGACATCGGTATCAAGAGTAAGGGAGATGTCGGTGTATGAAGCAGATTGACTAGTCATTTTGGCATCAGAGAGGATTGGATCTTTCAAATCAATGGAACTATCAATTTCCTGTACTTCGCATGCATGAAGATCGCGCGAAGTTGAAGCTAACGCCAGATTTCGCGCCTCCTGTTGATCTCCATAGTGAGTGCCTTCTCCTTCAATGGTGTGAAATTTCAAGGCATAATGAAAAATTGACACAGCAGCGCGGAGTTTGTAAAGAGAGGTTTGTCCTACAACAACATTGTACTCATTTTGAACATCCAAGACTTTGAAAGTTTCCATAATGATCTTGGATTTCGGTCCGAAGCCACCAAATCGAATAGGGAGTAATATTTCACCGATAGGTCAATAAATGCTTCCATTAAAACCTTGAATCTGGTCGTTACAAGGCCTGATATCGGCGGGATCCAAACCCAATTTCTTGAAAGTGCGAAACACCAAAATACTTGAATATGCTCCGGTATCAACCATGATTCGGTGAACAGGGATTCCTCCAATCGGAGCAGTGATAATGAGGGCGTCAAAATGAGGATGAGCGAATAGATATGCATCTTCGATGCTGAATGTGATGGGGCAATTTCGTTTATTAATAGTATCTCGAAGATCAACGTTCATAACTTGTTTCCCGGCATTTTGTGCTTCCTTAGCATAGGCTTTAGCTTTTCGCCGAGATGTGTCCAACTGTTTTGGTGTTAGAATTTACTCGAGGTATGTAGTGAGGAGAGTTTGATGCATCATGCGTTTTGGGTTTCTTGCAGTTGTCGGCCAAAGTACCGACAAGAGTAGAAAATGTAAAAATCTCTTTGTCGTTCGCACGGATTCTTTTCGGATTGACGGCCCGATTATCGTCATCTTCTTCATCCGAAATGTCTGCGGGCCTCCCTTTCCGATGATTATCAAGATTTCTGAACTTTTGAAGTTGTGGTTGCCCAATTAAACGGAGAAGGGCCGATAAGAGGCCAAGACACTCGTCGGTATTGTGTCCCGAAGACTTATGGTACGCACAGTATCGAGTTTTATCAAGCTTGTCTTCAGGAGTTCTCACAGGTTTCGGATCAGGACTAATTCCCTTTCCTTTCAGCTCTTCAAATATTTTGGCTGCTCCGGCTAAATAAACAGTCTGATAGCCTGTCCTCACATTTTCGGAATATTGATCTCGGGCAGCTCTGGATTCCGGAGTATTTTCGTAACCTTTTGAGTAATTCCGATATTGCGCCTTTCCAAAGTTCTTCTTATTCATTTTCTTTGCATCTGGCTCAGTTTTGTTTTCCTTCACCGAGAATTCGAAACTGGGAACCGACATTGATTCTTCAGTGATAATGAATTGTTGAGCTCGTACGAGAAATTCTTGAAAGGTAGCCGGCTTGTTCTGACATATAGTCCAACGGAACATTGAATTGGGCCTTAATCCAGCAATTGCAGTCACTAACAGGGTCTCAGGGTGACAAGGCTCCATGTTCTGAATTCGGTCGTTGAACCGAGATATATAGTCCTTAACAGTTTCGTCATCCTTTTGCACGATATTAGTGATTTATTCTTTCGAGATAAGACAAACTTGGGCTCCGATAAAGTGTGATCGGAAAGCTGCATGTAACTGTTGCCACTTCCAAATTGAATGAGGTGGAAGAGTGTAATACCATTTTTGTGCTCGTGGCCCCAGTGTGAGGGAAAACATCCGACATCTCAGAGCGTCTGAGGCACCGTGCAAATCCATCCAAGATGTATAATGACCCAAGTGCGCATCTGGATCTAAAGTCCCATCATACATGCCAATTTGTGGAATTTTTATCTTGGTAGGAAGTGCCTCCGCAGTAAGTTCAGGAGCTAAGGGTGAGTCAGCTTCAATGATAACATTTCCCGACGTCGAGACATGTCGGGGAGAGTCTTCTTGTGATTTCTGTCGAGTCTCAATTTCAGCCAATCTTTTACGGAGAACCTCTATTTCCTCCGCACTATGTCTCGACACACGATTTCGCTCAATTTGACGCCGTAAATCTTCACGATCACGAGGCACCGGTGAGGGGGGTCTAGGACGCGAAGGAATTCTCTGATGGTGAGCAGAATGGCTTTCAGCAGTCATCTCTTAAGCAGGAGGTTCTTCCGCAACCTGATTATTCAATACTGGATTAACGGTTATACGAGTCAACTCCTCTCGATGTTGAGAAGTATGATGTGGTTGTGACGTAGCATGTGACACTGATACATGTGTTTCTTGATTATGATGGGTAGGATTTGGATGTTCTGTTGGGTTTATGAGGAACGGTGTAGATAATGATATGGTACTCGAGTTTCTGGGCATAGCTCGAGCTATAAGAGAGGTTAAGCCCTGAATAAACTCCGGGTTTTGAAGAAAGTTCGTAATATTAGTGACCGGAGATGGTGGTGTTGAACGCCTTGGAGAATGATTCGTAGCTTGGCTTTGGCCAGCATGAGAAGTATGATCTCGACCGGATTGCGACATGGCAAATTGAAGCGAATAACTGGCTACAACAGCGAAAGTTAACCTCAAAAACGTTATGAGGCCCTCCTTCTAGCACCAAACTGTTGTTATGTGGGAATCAATAACGATTATATATCAAAATAAGACGATAATTATTCAAAAAGGTAGTGCCTTGTATGATATATATAATACAGAATTAGGTTTATTGAATGTGATAGTTGGTATTTTTCTCTGTCCTCTTTTTGGAAGTTTCTTCCTTTCCTTTTATATTTCCTTACAACATTATTAGAATTACAATCATTACATTATAAAAGTCAATGGCGGCCGATCGCCATCCATTCTTGTAGCACGCCACTTGGCAAAGTGTAATGATGACTTGTGCTGAGTTGGCGTCGCCTTATGATGTCGGTTTGGCAAGTCATAGAAATTGGTTCGCAAAGCCAAAACCTACATGTCACAACCGACGTGTCATAACCAATATGAGATGTCGGTTAATTGATGAGGATGTCGGTTCTTGGTCCATCTTCATCCGATATGTGATTGCTTTGGGATCCGCGAGCATGTCAACCTTGTGAGAGAATATAATCTTCCAATTATTGAGCATAAAAACCCGATGAGTATTACTAACTCGGTTTACCGAAAACCATGTCAACAACATGTATGCTCGAGTTTCAAAGTAGTGATACTCCATACATCTCGCTTTGCCCTTGCACATAACTTGTAAGAACACCCTTCATACCGAAAAACAGATAGTAACCTAGAAGTGCAGGATTTGGGTGTTCGACACTCAACTTTTTGTTGCAAGTGATACAGTTGGATGGCACAAATCAACTCTTCTTTCGAAAGAAAGACAGACCCCAAAGATAATTCTATATTGTTCGAGGGTAAGTGGATGGGTTGTCTATCTGATCCAGTTATCGTGGGCGGCATATGAGTGACCACATTCGTGGCTCAACGTCGGATTGCCGAGTGCTACCTCGATTATATGTGCAAGACTTTCAACATCAATATGGTCAGTGATTAATCTTAGCTCTTCAATATGCTCGCTATACCACGCCCTGAAAAGCTTGAACATTTGCTTCTTATGGACCTCTTTGTCTTCGTCTCCTAAGTCACCATTGTGCGTGTTGGTTTGGTCATCATTATTGTCATCGTCCGAGAATGACACGCCGCGGAAGCTAAAATATATCGTCACATTCTTTCAGTATTAGTTAAAAGGCGGTCATTGGCAGCAAGCCATAGGAACAGGCGTACCCGCTGCGGAGCAGATACTCGCCAAAGGAGTTTCCATAGCGATCGTTCATGCTGTCGAGCTGGAGAAGAAAAGGCCCAGTAGGTTGAATTCGTCGTAAATTTTCCATCCTCCGAGCAGCCCCAGGAATGTAGTCATCGCCGACAGTCACTCTCGGGGGGAGAGTACCCGCAATACGAAGAATAAATACTGTGAAAACTTTGCCACGCCCATGTTCCGCTCGCATCCACGTGGTCTGCCACTTTGGGAAAAATGTTCTCGATATTGGCCTGGTGACGAGCATATCTGATCAGAGGTCCCTCCGAGCCAAGCCACAGTTCAAGCCAGAAGTGAATCCGTAGACCATTGCCCAAATTCCATCGAATGCTGCCAACAACGTGGGGCCAAACCGCACGGATGGCGTGCAACAAGGGCGAACCACGTCTCGAAGGAAAAGCGTTTAAGTCTTCTA